AAGTCTAACTGCTATTGCTATTGCTATTGCTATGTTTGCAGAGTAATCATTAACAGAAAAAGTACTGTGGAAAAGTGCTGTAGGATGCCTTGAGCTTAAAAGCTGCAGAATCCCATAAAGGACAGCAAAGTAACATCTTCTATGCTACATCTGAAATTATATATTCCCTCAGCTATCCCAGGGAATACTCAAGATTTCATCCAGGTTTTCCAATAAACCTAGTTATGAAGTAAGGCCTGTGAAGATTTCAGTGTCAACATACATTTTTCCACCAAGAAAAACACCTGGAGAAAAAAATCCCTCTAAGAGAAAGGGAGAATTGAACGTGAATTGGCAACAGTTGTTTGGTGGAGACAAATCCCAAAGGATCTTTTGTGCTACCTTTGAAACACAAAATCCAAGTTCTTTTAAGCCAGAAGCCAAGGCAATTATGATCATGACAACATCCTAGCTTAGCATTATACTGACGATCAGGGTAAGGCACAGATAAGTAACATTTTTGAGCTGAAAGTCATATTTTATCTTTTGTGCTCTGACTTAAGGCCTTAATCCTCTGCTAATGGAGTGAATTGCCCTTGGAGGAAAGGGAAAGGTTTAAGGCACTAATTTCAGGCCTCTGCCCCCATATGCAAATAACAGAAAAACTGGGTCAACTTTTTAAATCCCACTGACTCACTTGGGCTGCACAGGAGTCCCATATCAGGTACCGCGTGCAAGACACAAGTTGTTCGTCTCCTTCTTTACAATGCTCATATACCCCTTTACAGAGATGCAGTGCAATTTAAAAAACAAAATAGAGCAATTGCAGTATACAGTTCACAATTACCAAATCAATAAGCAGTTATTGGTTTCAAATAAGAAGTAGTGACCCTGATGTATAGTGAACAAATGGATGCAGAATCAGCTGATGGCCATTGATGAAAAAGGCTCCCAAGAGAAAGCCTTACAAACACACTCCATAACCGTTGACCATTCATCATCACGGAGAACTACAAAGACCAACAAAGAGTCTTTGACATAAACAATGACTATAATCAGAGCATCCAAGAGAACAATGTAAAAGGTAAGTAGAATCGGCTTGTAATCTAGCATTCAATATTGCAACAGAACCAGAAGGCAGAAAAGCCACAAACCTATAAAGTACACAGCCAATAATATTGGAAGACGACAACGTACAGTTGTAATCAAATGTACTCCCTAATACAAGTAGTAGCTTTATTCTTCAGGGTATGCAAAACAAGGAAATATTATACTGGGATATGTGTGCAGGCACACCCATATACTGCATTCCTTTCTGTGTCTATATACTGTCCTTCTGAATCCAAAACTCTGCCCTGGAAATAATTTTTCAATGGACTTGAATTATTCCCTGCTTCCAGAAATTACTTGTTGAAGAAGCAGTAAAATTTCACAGAGGAAGTGAACACCTGTCTTGGGAGAAGACTGAACGAGGTGAAAACATGTCGGGAATGAAATTTTACACAGAAGCACTATGGGTTTAAACCCGCTCCAGTGACTCAACATTTCCAAGTGCCAAGTTGGCATGATATTGCATTTATGAACAGAAGGCAATTATGTTATTACACATGTACACCAGTCCAAGCCTACACGAAGAGGTGAGAAATTATAATCACCTTTTCAAAAACATAAAGGGGGCCCCTGCTGACTTAGCTCAAGGGTTTGTTTCTGTTTCAAGTGAATGGAAACTAGACAGTTTCAGGGATGATACAGGTCACGAAACAGTTCTCTGTTGTTACATCCCAACAGGTAGAAGTAGAGATACACAGCCTCTATACATTAGTTCAAATGTTGCTGACGACATTGTTCTCTGTGGATTTGTCAATAGATACTTCATTGTTTCGAGCAGAAACATGTTTTGTGCAATGTTAGTTTCATAAAATGGGTAGAGAAACTGAAAGGGAAAATTGTAGCTGAGCTGTATTGTATTAAACTTTTGTTAATTCAGATTCCCCAATTTGCATGTGATTAGTGAAGTAGAGATAGCGATAGGACTTATATACCGCTTCATAGTGCTTTATAACCCTCTCTCAGTAGTTGACAGACTCCATTTTACCGACCTCGGAAGGATGGAAGATGAGTCAGCTTTGAGTTGGTCGGGATCGAACTGCTAGCAGTCGGCAGAATTAGCCTGCAATTTTGTATTCTAATGACTGCGCCACCACAGCTCTCACCATGTAAATAGGTAGGTTTTTGCTTACAGCATAGAAGAGAGTATTAATCTTTTCAATAGTATAGGTAGTCCTTACTTAGCAACCACAATTGGGGCCATAACTCAGTTGTTTAGTGAAATGACAACTTTGTTTATGATCTTATTTCAGCTTTCCTTTTTTATAGACCTGTGAAGGTTATAAATGCAAAGATTAGTTGCAAAGTTATTTTTTTTATCACTATATGAATGGTTGCAAAACAAGGCAAATGTGGACTTCATGTAATTGCTTCTGGGTTCTCACAAATGTAGTGAATCTTAAACTTTGGTAAACATGTAAGTTATATGCTCCCTCCCACTCCATACCCATATTATGTTATATTGTAAGAAGTTAGCACCCACCCCTCTCCTAGATAAATGAAATATTTTAGGAAATATTAAAAGGACAGAATAGTCTCCCTTCAAGGGAGATAGAAACTCAACACCTCCACCTTTGTTAATGGGGCATTAAGGCCTGAGCCAATCTATTCTACATAACAAAGATCTACCTGCTTCAGGCAGAGTCATAATAGGAATCCCAGAGCCCTTTCATGACATCATCACCCAGCAACAGCTCAACCAAGCTTGGGACTCAAAAGACATACAGTCTACAAAGTTAGCTAAGACCCCATCCCCTGGGAGTCAGACAGCCAATGGGATACATTTCTTACACAGGAACAGGAAGCTCTAAGTGGGGCCCAAGAGAGGGTGTAAAACTCTCAGCATCTCTTTCCTTTTTCTTCAAGGCATGTGATCCCCTTTTACCCCAGGACCTCAAATCATGTGGTCTTGTCCACCATTAAAAACCATCTTTCCAAACAGCGACCATGTTTCCAGTGTCTTTCTCCCCACTTGGAACTGAACCCAGAAGGTCATTTCTTCCAACAATATTTTTGAGGATCACATCACATGCTAAGTCTCATGAATGAGAGTCAGTGATGGGATACGACCGGTACGCCCCGGTACAGGCATACCAGTGCCTGCTGGGAGCACCAGGTACCATTTCGGTACGGTGCTCTGGAGGGCCCGTCTGCTCTGCTTATTTGAGCCGATCAGGGCTTTTATGCATGCGCATGGAGCATATGGCACCTGTGTGGTGCGGGCGGTAGGTATGCATGTGCATGTTGCATGTGTGGCGCGCGCGTTCACATGGTGGATGCGGGCCCCCATTGCAGTGTACCAGTTGCAACGGGATCCGGAACCCACCACTGATGAGAGTGCGTGGCACGACAAAACCGCGCTCGACTAAAGCGCGCCCGATTAAACCGCGTCGCTGACGTCATCAACAGG